CCCCAAAACCCCAAAACCCCAAAACCCCAAAACCCCAAAACCCCTTGTGGTTACATCAATAATGAATCCATTTAGATATTTTTGGTAAACTAGATTTTTCATGTCAAAGAGCTTAATACACGTATTTCTTGACGTACAAGTCTTCAGTGCTGCCACCACCCTCGTACTTGCCAAGAGTAGCCTCTGAGTTACCCTTAGCTCTAGAAATGAATTCTTTCTGGGCTGCTTCGATGTTCTCTTCCTTTCCTAACCAAGCCTTAAGGCATGATGCTTGCAATGCTCTTCCATATGAGAAAGATAGATACCATGGTTTTGGCACGTCAGTGAGCTTAGCCATGGCGTTCAAGTTCTGGGAAGCTTCCTCCTCGGATTGACCTCCAGACAAGAAGTGGATACCTGGCATAGCGGCTGGGATGGTTCTGCTGAGAGTTCTAACAGTGTAGAAGGCAATTTCTCCTGCGGTAGCCTTTTCAGCAGCTTCTTTTCCTGGGGTGATCATGTTTGGCTTAAGCAAAGCTCCCTCGAGGAAGACTTTTTGGTCTTGAAGAGCCTTGACAACTCCAGCGTATACTCTCTCTGAAGCTTCAGCACATTCTTCGATAGTATGAGTACCATCGCACAATACTTCTGGCTCGACAATTGGTACCAATCCGTTATCTTGGCAAATGGATGCATATCTTGCGAGTCCATGAGCGTTCTCATAGATAGCAAGCTCAGATGGGCAGTTCTTGGCAACATCAATCTTAAGGACAGCTCTCCACTTGGCAAATCTAGCTCCCTTGGCATAATACTCAGCACATCTCTCTCCGAGCTTGTCTAATCCCTGGGTGGCAGTCTCATCCTCAGTACCTCCAACAATAACGACACCCTTGTCAACCTTGATACCAGTAATGATGTTCTTCTCCTTAAGGAACTCAACGAAGTTCTTTCCGTCCTTGGTCTCTTGGTCAAGAGTTTCTTCGAACATGATTACACCACTAATGTACTTCTCGATGTCTGGGCTAGTGAACAAGAGTTCTCTGTAAGCTCTTCTGTTTGGCTCGGTGTTCTCAACCTCAATTGGGGCGAACCTCTTACCGATAGTTCCAGTGGACTCATCGGCAGCCAAGATTCCGAATCCTGGTCTAGCAATAGCCTTAGCTGTGGCCATAAGTTCTTCCTTGAAGTCTTGCTTAGCTTCCATTTTAACCAATTAGTATTAAATTATTATGAGAAATTTTCGGTGAAACAACATAAGTTCTTCCAAAAGGGGTTTTGGGGTTTTGGGGTTTTGGGGTTTTGGGGTTTTGGGG